TTAAGATGACAAAAAGTAGGGCTATAGACTTGAGTAACTCAACGAGCAAGGTTGATCAGACACCCATGTGGCAAACGCACATTCTTTTCAAGAGCACATGACACGTACATCGAAAAACCACATGTTAGGTCCAAAGCATTTCTTGATAAGCAGCAAAGAATCACACAGACCACATTCTTGAACATACTCAACTGTTAGACTCCAGTAGTAATGATTCAGTCAAACCTTATCTTTGGAATTTTGGAGGGAAAAAAAAAACCCTTAAGTAATTCATGACTATAAAAGTGTCTTAATGGAGAGTCTAAGAACAAATTCGTTTTTAAAAAGATTTTTTATATGGCATTTTTAGAGTCTGTATTGAATTTGTTACAACATGGTTTCTGCTTTGGTTTTTTGACCACACGTGGGATCTTAGCTTCCCCGTGCTGTGTGCTAACTTCTTTCAGCCGTGTCCAGCTCCTTGAGACCATATGGACCACGGCCTTCCGGGCTTCTCTGTCCATGGGATTCTCCAGGCAAGCGTACTGGAGAGGGTTGCCAGGCCTTCCTCCAGGGGATCTTCCTGTCGCGGGGATGGAATCTACATCTCTTATGTCTCCTGCATTAGCAGGAGGGTTCTTTACCACTAGCACCATCTAGGAAGCCCCTTAGCTCCCCTAGTAGGGATCAAACTCACACCTTCTGCGTTGGAAGGCAAAGTCTTAACCATTGGACTTCCAGGAAAGTCCCAAATTGTCAATATTATAAGAAAGTTTGGCAAGGTCACTGGCTACACAAAAGTAAATTTTTATTCACTGGCAACAAGCAACTAGAAAACTTAGTTTAGAAACTATCCATGTGTAAATAGCACCCTCAGATATAAAGGTACCTCAGAATACATTGACCAAAAGACAGAAAATTTTTATGTATGAAATTTAGAAAATTCCTGAAGACCTAAATAAATGAAAAGATAATACTGATGGATTTGTAGAATTGATATCTAAAAGATGTTAATTTTCTGTGATTTATGAATTGAAATGTATTCTTCTTAAAATTCAAACTAGATTTTTTGAGGTTCACAAGTTGATTCTAATGTGTGTAAGGTAGAGCAAAGAACCAAGAATTGCCAGGACAACCAGCATCTGAGGGCTCACTCACTCCACCACCATAGGAACACTTAAGAGAGAAGTGTTAGTTGCTCAATTGTGTCCGAGTCTTTGTGACCCCGTGGATTGTAGCCTGCCAGGCTCCTCTGTCCATGGGGTTTTCCATCAGGAATACTAACTTTAGTGTAATTAAGCAATAAAGAAAGTGATATTAGCACAGGGTGCCTCCCAGGTGGTGATAGTGGTAAAGAAACCACCTGCCGATGCAGGAGACATCGGAGATGCAGGTTCCTCCCTGCAGAGGGAAGATCCCCTGGAGAAGGAAATGGCAACCCACTCCAGTATTCTCACCTGGAAAATCCCATGGACAGAGGAGCCCGGTGTGCTACAGTCCATGGGGTTGCAGAGTCAGACGTGAATGAAGCGACTTAGCATGCACGCATTAGCACAGGGAGAGACAGAACAGAGTCCAGAGACAGGTCCACACACATATGGAAATCTGTATATAACAGAGATGCTATTTCAACTTCATCAAACCTTATCTTTGGAATTCTGGAGGGAAAAAAAAAACCCTTAAGTAATTCATGACTATAAAAGTGTCTTAATGGAGAGTCTAAGAACAAATTCGTTTTTAAAAAGATTTTTTATATGGCATTTTTAGAGTCTATATTGAATTTGTTACAACATGGTTTCTGCTTTGGTTTTTTGACCACACGTGGGATCTTAGCTTCCCCGTGCTGCGTGCTAACTTCTTTCAGCCGTGTCCAGCTCCTTGAGACCATATGGACCACGGCCTTCCGGGCTTCTCTGTCCATGGGATTCTCCAGGCAAGCGTACTGGAGAGGGTTGCCAGGCCTTCCTCCAGGGGATCTTCCTGTCGCGGGGATGGAATCTACATCTCTTATGTCTCCTGCATTAGCAGGAGGGTTCTTTACCACTAGCACCATCTAGGAAGCCCCTTAGCTCCCCTAGTAGGGATCAAACTCACACCTTCTGCGTTGGAAGGCAAAGTCTTAACCATTGGACTTCCAGGAAAGTCCCAAATTGTCAATATTATAAGAAAGTTTGGCAAGGTCACTGGCTACACAAAAGTAAATTTTTATTCACTGGCAACAAGCAACTAGAAAACTTAGTTTAGAAACTATCCATGTGTAAATAGCACCCTCAGATATAAAGGTACCTCAGAATACATTGACCAAAAGACAGAAAATTTTTATGTATGAAATTTAGAAAATTCCTGAAGACCTAAATAAATGAAAAGATAATACTGATGGATTTGTAGAATTGATATCTAAAAGATGTTAATTTTCTGTGATTTATGAATTGAAATGTATTCTTCTTAAAATTCAAACTAGATTTTTTGAGGTTCACAAGTTGATTCTAATGTATGTAAGGTAGAGCAAAGAACCAACAATTGCCAGGACAACCAGCATCTGAGGGCTCACTCACTCCACCACCATAGGAACACTTAAGAGAGAAGTGTTAGTTGCTCAATTGTGTCCGAGTCTTTGTGACCCCGTGGATTGTAGCCTGCCAGGCTCCTCTGTCCATGGGGTTTTCCATCAGGAATACTAACTTTAGTGTAATTAAGCAATAAAGAAAGTGATATTAGCACAGGGTGCCTCCCAGGTGGTGATAGTGGTAAAGAAACCACCTGCCGATGCAGGAGACATCGGAGATGCAGGTTCCTCCCTGCAGAGGGAAGATCCCCTGGAGAAGGAAATGGCAACCCACTCCAGTATTCTCACCTGGAAAATCCCATGGACAGAGGAGCCCAGTGTGCTACAGTCCATGGGGTTGCAGAGTCAGACGTGAATGAAGCGACTTAGCATGCACGCATTAGCACAGGGAGAGACAGAACAGAGTCCAGAGACAGGTCCACACACATATGGAAATTTGTATATAACAGAGATGCTATTTCAACTTCAGCGGGGAAATAAGGACTTTAAGCAAGCAGCATTGGAACAATTGGTTATCCATATGGAAAAAATAATTTAGATCCCTACATCAAACCATAGTTAAATGGATTAAAGACCTACATATGAGAAAGCATGACTTGACTTTAAAAAGTTTTGGAAGAAAATAAAAGAGAATATTCTTAAGATCTCAGGGTAGGAAAAGATTTCTTAACCATAACACCAGAAGCATAAACCATGAATTAAAAAACCAATAAATTTGACTACATTAAAATATTTTAAAAAGTCCTTTTGTACATTAAAGGCATCATAAAGTGAGAAATACAAAACTTAGACTTGGAGAAACTCTTTGGCACACACTGTACCAAGAAAGGATTTTGCCCCCAATTTATAAACAGCTCCAGTGGAAAAGGCCAAATGATGTGAGGACACCCAATGGCTTTGAAAGATAAAAAATAATTTTCCTCTGTCCTAGTAATCAATGGCATGTAGGTTAAACAAAGGGGAACTAATATTTCATATTAATTAGACTGGCAAAAACTAAAAAGAATCTGATGATGCCAAGCTCTGTGGAGGAGAGTATAAATGGGCACATAGATTTTGGAGAACAAGATGGCAATATCTAATAAAGTTGTGGAATTGCTGGACCAGATTAAAGCATCTCCAGCTCCAGGCAACACTGTTTGTAAAAACTGAAGAATGGAAAGAAAGCTTAACGCAGGTATGGGATCTACCAAGGGACAGATGTTTAATTAAGAAGCTATTAGAGCTTCCCAGGTGGTCCAGTGGTTAAGAACCCACTCTGCAATGCAGGGGACACCCGTTCCATCCCTGGTCAGGGAAGACCTCACATGCTGAAGGGCAACTAAGCCCTTGCATCACAACTCTTGAGCCTGTTCTCTGGAACCTGTGAGCCGCAACTACTGAGTCCGCACGCTACAGCGACTGAAGCCAGTGCATCTAAGCCTGCCCTCCGCAACTAGAGAAAGCCTGCTCACGGCAACAAAAACCCAGAGCAGCCAAAAGTAAATAAATATTAGAAATTAATCTGTCACTAAATAAAAATACAATTAAAAAAGAGTCTATTGCATACAGATATGTTTGACTATTTTCTTTTCTGTACCTAATTTTATATCTTTAAAAATGTCTTAATTGAAACAGTAATTTTAGTGGGGGTTAAGGGGGAAAGGCACTTACACAGAGCTTGTGTGACTGTCAGTCGGTAGAGCCACGTTCAGGGCAAATGAAAACGTCGCATTCTGCCATTCTTTTGAACTTCTCGAGTGGACAAAGGTGGAAGAGTTAGCTAGCAGTTTGTATTGGCAAGAGTGTTGGGAGACAGGCATGTTCATGCACCACAGATGGGAATGAAGAGTGAGGACACCTCGGTGGAGGTAATTTCAGCAATATTTAACAAAGCTATGAATTCCCTTTGACCTGGTACATTGTCCTCTAGGTATTTATTCTAAGAAAATATATATTATGTAATACATTATGAAGCAAAGTTTTATTTACACAGAAGTTCATCATAATAATCACAGTGTTGTTTTAATAATAGTGAAAGAAATAACTAATACTATCTAGACTAGTAACCCTAGACTAAGCATGTGTAACACTACTAGGTTCTAATTTATCAAACAACTGTCAGATGGACTATTATGCAGCGGTAACAATGATGCTGTTAAATCCTCTTAATGATGTGGAAGCTCTTGCAAATATGAAGTTAATATGAATTAGGTTACAAAACAGCATGTGGAGTATCTATGCACTGAAGCAAAGACTCCAAAATGTAACCAGAGGTTATTTCTGGTTGGTCAGAGGCAATCTCTATTTTTAGTCTGGATTTAAAAGAAATCTTTCTTATACATTTTCTCCCTCTCTCTGTGTGTATAACCTTTGTTTTAATAGGAGAGGTTGTCCTTTGCTGAAATAATTTAAACAGCCTTGATGCTATGGATGGACAACGCCAGCAGGCCGGAGTGGGGCGGGAGGGCGAAGTATGACGGATTTGCCGGGTGCCTGGGAAAACCGAGTCTCATGATCATGGAACCAGGACAAGTGCGAGGACCTGGGTTCACTGTGATGGAGTAGCTCATCCATTCAGAACATGGTTTCGCTTCCACTCAAAGGACCTAACAGCCCCGGCTGGCCTGGCTCCCGCCTCTGTTTACAGGGTGTCCGGCGTGTGCGCGCGCGGCTGCCAAGCCCTCCCCCTGGGACCCTCAGGTCCCCTACGCGGTCTCCTGGGCCAAGGTAAGTGCGGCCAGGCTGGCGGGTTAGGGTTTGGTGGTTTAATTGCAGGAGGGGGAACCGCCTCCCTCGGGCCGGTGCCCATCTGTGGCTGGGGGATCGGGGGCATCGCCCGTAACCGCACTCGGTACCGGGTCTTCGCACACGCCTCCTCATCGAGACTTTAAGCTCATCCGCATCCAGGTACAGGCTGACATAGATGTGGTTCCCCTGGGAACCTCAGATCTTCTTGCCTCTAAAGGTGGCCTGAGATGAATGATCCAGATAAGACGTTTTGGAGAGCAGAGAATCTCTTATTTGGATTAATTCTAGGGGCCACCTGTGGTTGTGGTCAGCAGGCCAGGGAGAAGGCAGCTGGTGAAGATTTAACACTGGCCATGAGGCATGTCTCTGGATTTATTATTTCTGCTGTTTGGTGACTGCGGTGCTCATACATTTGGGGAGAAGGGAGGCGGCAATTTGAGGGGAAGGATGACCGGATAGAAGCCAATGTAGGCTCTTTTATTGGATGGTAGCTATCTGCCAGTCATCCCCTTTCTGGGAAACCCTTGGCCTCCTCCCCCATCCCTTTCTCCTTCTCCCTCTGAGCATTCTGAAAGTTCCAGCAAGGAGGGCTTCTGTGATGGTGCATTGGAGGGTCCTCGTGTGTAAGCTCAGTATCACCTACCCTACCACGAGAGGAGTGAGTCAGATTGACGCTTTTTTAAGGTTTCCTCTCAACTCTAACCTTTTCAGCTTCTAAGATTGTGGTTGTGGTGGCCTTGCAAACCCAAGCAACCCAACTGTTTGCTGTCACTGGTTTATTTATATTTTTTTGCTCAGCACCTTTAATGAGGTTACTGCCACAGTGGCACCTTGGGTTGAAGCCCAGTGACTATGATATCCCAGCCTTGCACTGGTTAGCTCACTGATTGGTCATCCTACCTTGCCGGCAATCTCTGTGCCTTTGTAGTTTTCCACCAAACGCTGGGTTTTCTTCTGTCCACCATAAAAGATGCTGTAAGAACCTACACAAGTATCTAGCCATTTAATAAGGCAGCCTAGGGCCATTATCTCTTTGTGTGTGTGTGTGTGTGTGTGTGTGTCCTCTCCTAACCAGATTGTCAGTTCCCTAGGGACAGTGCCACAGCTTTTGTGTCTCCTGCAGGGCACCCAGTGTTTGCCCCGATCGTTTCAAAGGTGCTCAGTGAATTCAGGCCAACCTTTTGTGATTATGCACAGTGGAAATGGTGCTGAGGCCCGGGGGCCCTGTGTTCTGTATGCAAATAGGTTTGTTCTTATTCCTGCTTCATTTCCACCTTAGTCACTGTGGGATCAGAGAAGACAGCAATTCCAAAATTATTCCCTTGTAAAAATAGTAATATTTAAACAGAAATATTGGAAAACCAGTATTATTTGGGTAGTCACCACCTGCCACGCTCTGAGGTAAATGTCTTCATGCATCAGCAGTTCCAGTGGACTTAAGAGATAAATCCTATCACTGATGAGGAAACAGCCTTAGGGCTGAAGTAACCTACTCACTGTTACACAGCTGGCTAGAGTTGGGGTTTGAATCCAGCAGTCTGGCTCCACAGCCTAAGTTCTTAGAGGTCTGTCTTGTTATTTCTGTTTTCTATCTTAATTCCTTAAAGAAAATGAAAGTGTCTTTGGGCTAGCCAGGCAGGGACTTGGTTATCTAAAAGGAGGGGAAAACATGAAACCGTGATCCTTTCCAGACTAATTAAAAAGGGAAAACAATATTAATATCCCCAGGGGAGTAATTGCAAAGTACTCATGAAACAAGTAGATGAAATTTCAGACTGTAAAGTTCAAACAGTTGTCAAGTTAAATCTTGCACAGGGTCATTTGGAATGATGTAGTAAACCAGAGCGATTAACCTCTGGCTTTTCCTTGGATGTCAGCTGGTGATGTAACCCTATAATGTATGTGCTTGTTTGTTGAACATAGTTCTTACAAACTTTACCTTGAAGGGCTCTCAAAGCTCTGCTAAGAAAAAAGACAACAGTCTCTTGGCATTCTATTTTTTCTGTTGGTCCATGGAATAGAGTCATTGAAAAATCATGCCCAATTTATTTGTTCAAGAAAGAAAGTGTGATGGAGTCGTGGTGGATAGGAGAGCTGTGCTATTTCAGTAAACTAATCAGATACCTTGAAAGTGATACGCTTTGTTTTTCAAGCTCTTTTTAATAGATCTCAGCATATTCTGTAGATTTTTTTTTCCAACCCAGTAATTATACTTTTTTGCATCAATTGTGCTTGTACAACAAAAATGGTAATGTTCTGGAAATAAAGCCAGTGGTGAAATACTGAAATTCTTTGTTTTACAGAAGATTATCTTGTCATTTTCACCCACAACTTTCTTGTAAAATGTTTCCGTGAAGCTTTAGAGGTAGTTATAAAGTAGGGAATTTAAGCCTGGTGACCACAGCCAACCTCACTGCATCATCAGTAGGGTAGTTGGTAAAACCACTTTGCACAGTTGTGGGCAGTGTGCCGGACAAGTAAGCAGAGAGTCTTTTGCAGTGTGGGTTTTCTCTGTCCGCCAGATTGAATCACATTCTTGCAGGTTTTCTGCGTACCACAATTACAGTTATAATGACTCACGATTAAAAAATCCATTTACCACTCCGTTCCCTGGCACCGTGGAGCATTCTGCCGCTGTCCAGTTGGTGCTGATTACTTGCAGTGAACAAAAGAACCCATGTAAACTATGTGTTTCTTTTCATGTGCCTTTTACCAGAAGACTCAAAGCAGACGGCGTCTAGTTAGTGTTTGCAACATTAGGGTGAGTTGGGAAGGAACAATGTCCATCTTATTCTCTGTATCTCCAAGATACAAAGACAGGGGGTTGGGGTTGAGGAATATAATCTAGATTTGCACGGGGCGTGGGGTCAAAGGTGGAGCTAAGAGTGGGCGCTGGTAGCCCCATTCCAGTTAGCCCAACTCTTCTTTCTCTTCCCAACTGGGATCCAAGAATGGGACCTCCTCTCATCCCTTCCTGTATTGTACCCTTTAGAGCAGAGTGAATGATTGAGAAGAAAAAGAAAATGCAGTATATGCATCCAGTTTAGCAGTTAAGATCGTGAATAGATTGTGGTTGTTGGAGATGTTTTGAGATGTTATAATGCACATAGGCTTTGGTCCAGCCGTCTTCTACCAACGGCCGTGACCTCTGATTAGATTCTAGCATAAGAAGATCATTGCACAATTCCATGTCTGCCTGGAGGAAGACCATCCGTTCAGGGGCCAGTCTGTGCTTCTCGTGGGGCGGCCTGGTCCGTGCTCTCTTTCGTGAGGCTACAGTAGGTCTGGCGAGGCAGGATGGCATTGGGTGCACAGAGCGTCTGGGCGTGGGTGAGGCTGGCCACTGCTAATGATGAGTGGTTACTCACGAGGGAAACATATCTCCATCTCGTATTGTTCTGGGAGCCCCCACAGCCTGTGTTGATGCATATCGAAAGAGGATCTAGGTTTCATCTCTGAGTGACACTGCGGAGGAGAGGACAGACCTGCGTCACAAGACAAGTGCCCTTTTTAGATGATTTCCAAGGGAAGGGATAAAGGGGAAGTGAGACGGTGATTTCAGAGACTAGAGCAGACTTGACTTTTATCATATTTAGAAGAGCTGCAGCTGTGGCAGGTCAGGGTAGTAAGGGAGAGCAGGTTGATGGCTTGTGTGTGGCCACTTGGAAAGTTCTAGGATAGTCGTTCCACGGCTCTTGCTTGTCCTTGATGTGTTTGTTAAGAGCTGTCCGCCATGGGCATCGGCAGTCTCCTATTTTCTGCCTCTGTAGCATCTTGTGTGGTAGTGAGCCACCAAGCAAGGAGGCGCTAAGGAGGAGCCCTCGGAGGGTCTAGGCTTGATGAATGGCCGGGCAGATGGCAGCGGCACAGCTACCAACTCTGACAGCCCCACGAGGAGACAATGCAAGCCACTCACCGCACTCACCTGATTCTAGAATGCTGTCTGCTTTAAGATAAGATTTCAGATGTTTTAGGAGAAGGAGGAAACATTTCCATATTAAATATAGAAGTGCCAAAACACTGAAATGTAAAACACAAGGCCTGTGTGAGCGTCAAAGAAGAGTTGTATCATCCCCATTGGGCCCAGTATTACTTGACCTGATTGAATAACCATTAGGTCAGACTATGAAAGGCATAAAGTTAGTTTTCAGATGCCTGTCATATTTACATTTTCATCATTTAGTTAATATTTCTATGTCCCAAATGTGTGCCAAGTCCTGGGCCTGGCAGTGGCTGTCCTAAGACCAATCCAGAACATTTGCCAGAGGACAGAGGCGTGGACCCTAGAAGGCACAGGTGTTTTGGGGGAGCTGATGGGTAACTACTAATCTGGAAGGGGGGATTATATCGCAGAGGACGGGGAGCTAGAGCCAGCAAGCAGGCTGGGAACAGAGGGTGAAGCCCCCTGAATGCTGAATCATGTGGGCTAGAATTTGGTCCATTTGGCATCAGGGAGCCTTTGACAGTTTTTAGGCAAAGAGGACAACATAGTGGAAAATATGTCAGAAGAAAATCGTATTTCTTATGGTGAGAGGTAGAATATAATTCATCCTAGAAAATGAAATGTCAGAGGCAGGCTTCAGTCTTGGGCTACGGTGAAACTGCCGTTGGGTTAACTCTGTGAGCTGGCAATGCTTGCCTGGGGTTCACCTCCCCTTTCTCTCTTGGTCACCAGTCCTATTGTCCTTATGATTCTAGGGACCAGTGAGCCAGGCTGTGGAAGAAATCCCAGCCAGATGAAAATGATGGAGCACTGAGATTTTTGGACCATGATGAGATACATTGCTAAAAATCTTTCAGCTTGGAAGAGGGATGGGAGGGAAAAGGCAGCTGAGAGTGAAATACTAGAAACTGCAAACACTTGTTTTCCATAAATAAAAGGGGGAACCCGAATCACATGAGGACTGATGATCTTACTTCTGTATATGGTTATGTCACTTCACAAAGAAGAGGAAGTTAGGAGAAGGTCTCGGTGACAT